CCCCCCCCCCCTGCGTACGCCACTGATAACAGGATTTGTATATTTTTCAATAAGACTTTTAAAAAGTGTTTCATGTTGACCAAGATGTTATTCTGCAAGTCTATTAAGCAATTCTCTATCTCTATATAATTCTAAAGCAATACCTAAATGTCTTTTTGTAAAGTACGATGATCGCAATATCTCACGTATGGACCAGTTTAAGACAAAACCGTACATAACCATATCTTTCATTTGACTTTGATTCTTTACAAGGGTTGTTTTTCTGAAGAAGTTTTATTGACATAGGCCTATGCAAAAATGTTGGTTCTTTCAGCTGATTATTAATGCAAATTAATTACTTAATTAATTAAAAAATTATTTAACGAATAATTCTCTAACCGTAGGAGAAAAAGTCTGAAAACTTCAGAATAGGCTTTGTAGCAAGAGCTGTATCTATGAGAAAATTATCAGGAAGATTAGATTCCAAAGAACTTTCTCTTGTATAAAAAGATTTTGTGTTAACATCATCTAGAAATTTTTTGAAGAAGATTTTGTACTATTTGGAATAGGTTTTGAATAGTTCATTCAGTTGTAAGAACATTTTTTCGTAGTTCGTCACGTCACTAACGAAAAGTAAATAGATTTTTTTTTTGAAAAATTTAGGCATGCTCAAAAACAAATTTTAAATAGAGATTTTGTAACTTCAATATTTATCTGCAGAATGAACTATTTAGTTTTTAAAAATGCTGCCTCAAGTTGAAATTTTCTCCAGTTAAAATACGTGAGGTGAAAGTCGATGTTCTTTTTTATGCTGTATTGCTAACGCTAGTTTTGTTACTGACAATTTCCCTGAACAAAGATCTATAGAGCTGATTTTTTTCGGGGTATCTAGAGTAACTTGATGTACATGCACCAAATAAGAACTACCTCTAGAAAAGTTCATTATCTCGAGATACATGTACCAATTTTGTGTAGTAGCGTTTCTAATGAATTATTTGATCTATATGCAAACTGAACGAAAATATTATAAAATGTAACATATGATACACATATTAACTAAAATATACGATTATTTTGTGCATTAATGGATAATGTATGTCGAACCTAGATCAATAGAAAAATATTTGAGGCATTTTTATAGATGAACGTTTGTCTCAGTTTAATGACAAAGGACTTTCTCAATATGCATGGTAACGGGTTAATAAAAATTTAAATTTAGTAGTCTGATTTGGCAAAGAACTGTGAATTCGAATATGAGTCTAGAGTGAAATTTAAAAGTAAATCTAATTTTTTCACAAAAGTTTTTTTGATTGCTCATTAGACAATGTTGTGACTTGA